ATGAAACAAAATCTAAGAGAAATAAGAAAATATGAGACGAGGTCGCCGGAGATGCTCTTTTAGGCAAGATCTGATAGTTTTAGGCCAGATCTGATAGTTTTTGGACTGATATGCCAAATTTTATTGTGGTTCCTTAACCTTTTTTTGTCAATTTATACAACATTGTACGCATATATACATACTTATACATATTTATACAATATTGTATAAGTTTGTATAAACACTACCTATACAAGTTTACACCAGAAAACACCTTCTGTCCATCACCACATTATAGTTTTCGGTGGTTGCTGGTGTTGAATTTTTCCGGCGAGGTTTTGGCATTCAAATCTGGGCTTCACCAGTAGCAAAGGATGAAACAAAAACTAAGAGAAATAAGAAAATATGAGACGAGGTCGCCGGAGATGCTCTTTTAGGCAAGATCTGATAGTTTTAGGCCAGATCTGATAGTTTTTGGACTGATATGCCAAATTTTATTGTGGTTCCTTAACCTTTTTTTGTCAATTTATATAACATTGTACGCATATATACATACTTATACATATTTATACAATATTGTATAAGTTTGTATAAACACTACCTATACAAGTTTACACCAGAAAACACCTTCTGTCCATCACCACATTACAGTTTTCGGTGGTTGCTGGTGTTGAATTTTTCCGGCGAGGTTTTGGCATTCAAATCTGGGCTTCACCAGTAGCAAAGGTTGAAACAAAAACTAAGAGAAATTAGAAAATATGAGACGAGGTCGCGCGGAGATGCTCTTTTAGGCAAGATCTGATAGTTTTAGGCTAGATCTGATAGTTTTTGGACTGATATGCCAATTTTTATTGTGGTTCCTTAACCTTTTTTTGTCAATTAACTCAAAAATCGAAATTTAATTGACATAGAATGGGAGGATTATCACGAGTGTGTACAAAAAAATTCTGTAAATTTTAGGGAGAAGGAAGAGAGAGGTGAGTGAAGAGAGATTGAGTATGCTGGGAAAGAAGAAAGAAGAAAAGAAAAAAAACCTAGAAGTATGTCTTTAATAATGGGCTAAAGACTGAAAAGTTTCTTTCAAGATATATACAACCTGGGCTAAACCGGGTAAAGGCTTCAAACATGGGCCAGTTTTAGTTGGGTTGCTGTGCAAAGTGATTAAAAGAGTTTTTCTTTCATTTAAATAATATATTTTCTTCATTCACTTTTACTTGTCCACTATTCTAAAAATAAATTTTCAATTTTACTTCTCCACTTTTACATATCAAGAAAAAAGTAATTTATTTTTCTTGTTTTGCCTTTAGCATTAATTACACATTTCAAATTATTTTTTAAATTAATTAATATGAGTATCATGATAAATTATGCACTTTATTTATTATTTTTTAAGAGTGTATAAAATTAATAGTGGACAAATAAAAGTAAAGGAAGAAAGTATTTGACAGTTTATTGTCTACCTAAACTGACATGACCTACCTAAAACCAAACAATTTCTGGTATTAATGTCTAGGCATATTTCAATATTACTCACAGGGAAATAGTGAACTCAAGTCTCCCACGTAGCTGAATTCGGTACTTTAGTTAACAAGGAACTATAATTTTTTCATATGCCCCTATCATAGCAAAATATTTACCAATTGCCATTGAAGTTCAACTTTACAGATCACATATTCTAACGGTAAATACTTACTCGTACCGGATATATTATATAACCTTGTATTAATATTTTTCCATTGTATTATTATTATATTTATATTGTTTTAATATGTATCAAAAATATTATAATAACATTCTCAGTTTTCCTTAATGACATACTTTTGGGAATACACGAATGTTGAAGATACTAAGTAGGTACCTCTACTGCATTTGATATACTTCTACTTCTTTTATACATCAGATTTTTTTTTCTCCGTTTTAAGTATCTACACCTGCTACCTTTCACCAATATAATTACCTAGAGATAATGTTGTCACCAAAATTGAATCGTTATAAGGACAAAATTGAACCATACAAATATTTTAAGGGTAAATCTGGTCTACTTTGATTTGGTTAGGACATGTGTCATATTATTTGGGCAAAAAAATATTAATTAAAAAAAATTAGGTTCGTTGGTCAGAAAGGGCAAATTTGGGATTAAATTTAACGGAAGGTAAAAAAAATATATCCAATTTCGTATAGTATAAGGATAATTTTGACTCTTTACCGATTATTTTTACATCATCAGTGACCATTATTAATGCCAGAAAGTAGGTTGGGCGAAAATTTCAATATATATATATAAGCCTTGTAATTGGAATGATGACACTAACTACAAATCCAATTTCTCTTCTCCCTTCTTCTCACCCTATCCCTATCTTTCTAGCTTTTCTTCTCCCAATAAAAATTTCCACCATTTTTTTCTCTCAATTCTTTAGCAGCTCAAAATTTCCAATAATTTGTGAAAAAATGAGTGACACTCAAGAACATATAGTAATGCTTCCATTTCTAGCACTTGGCCATATGATTCCATTCATAGCCTTAGCCAATAAAATCCAAGAAAGAACTAACTACAAAATTACCATAGTTAGTACCCCTCTTAATATTAAATATCTTAGTTCCAACATACAAAATCCCAATAATATTTCTTTGGTTTCACTTCCTTATAATAGTTCTGACCATGGTTTACCACCAAATACTGAGAATACAGAAGCCTTGCCTTTAAAAGATATGGTAACAATTTTCAATTCTACATTATCTCTCAAAGATCCACTTAAAAAGTTGATTTTAGAGATTATTAAAAAAGATGGTAAGTCTCCACTTTGTATAATTTCTGATACATTTATGGGATTTGCTAGTGAAGTTGCAAAATCATGTGGTATTTTTAATGTGAGTTTTACTACAGCTGGTGCTTATGGTACAGCAGCTTATGTATCATTATGGCTAAATTTACCTCATTTATGAGCAATTAATGGTGTTTTTAAAATGCCAGGATTTGATGAAAATTCTTGCATTTTTAATGTCTCTCAACTTCATCCTTTTATGAAATTAGCCGATGGTAATGATTCTTGGTCTAAAGTGTTGAAATCTATGTTATCACCTTCTTTGGATTCTTTAGGTTGGTTATGTAATAGTGTTGAGGAAATTGAAGTTATAGGTATAAAAGCAATCAAGAATTTGACAAAACTTCCTGTTTGGTGTATTGGACCTTTACTTCCACAATGTATGATCAAGAAAGGAGAAAAAGATCAAATCTTGGAATCAAGAATTGGAAAAAATCATGGTTTGTCACCTGAAAAATGCATAGAATGGTTAAATAAACATCCTAAAAATTCAGTTCTTTACATATCTTTTGGTTCACAAAACACAATTAGTACTTCACAAATGATGGCATTAGCTTTGGGATTAGAAGATAGTGAAAAACCATTTATTTGGGTTGTTAGACCTCCTATTGGATTTGACTTAAAAGGTGAGTTTAAATCAGAATGGTTACCTCAAGGTTTTCAAGAAAGAATGGAAAAAGGGAATAAAGGTTTAATTGTGAAATCTTGGGCACCCCAATTGCAAATTTTGTGTCACGATTCGACGGGTGCATTTTTGACTCATTGTGGATGGAATTCAGTATTGGAAAGTTTAAGTCAAGGTATGCCTATAATTAGTTGGCCTTTGGCTGGTGAACAAGCATTTAATTCAAAGATTTTAATGGAAGAAATTGGGGTTTGTATTGAGTTAACTAAAGGGGTAGAAAGTGTTATTGAAAAAGAGGATGTGAGGAATGTGATAGATATTGTTTTGAGTACAAGTGGAAAAGGGAAAGAAATGAAGGAAAATGCTAATGAAATTGGGATTTCTATTAGAGAAGCTGTTAAAGAAGAGGGGAAGTTTAAGGGTTCTTCTGTTAAAGCTATGGATGATTTCATATCTACACTACTTTGTACAAGAAATCTGTCATCTTAACAAAGAATTTGGAACCTTTTAAGGCTTTAACTAAGGGTCCCGTGGTTACAAATGTTCCTTTACAGTGTGTTTGGATGGTTGTTACATGTTGTATTGTATTGTATTGTATTGTTACTTTAAATATAATGTTTGTGTTTTGTTACTTAGCTAGCGTTTGGACATAGATTTGGTTGAAACTAATTTTTGAACTAGTTTTGAAAAATAATTTTTGGAAGTTGAAATTATGTTTGGACATGCATTTTATTTGAAAAAAATTTGAAGTTTTGTGAGTGGGAGAACAAGTTTCACCCAAAAACTACCCTAAACTAGATTTTGGGAACTTGAAAAATAATTTCAGAAATTTTTCAAAAATAGATCATTAATCTATGAACAAACAATGTTTTCAAAAAAGATTTAAAAAAAAGTTGCCAAAACCTATGGCCAAACTGGAGCTTAAATTTTATTGTATCGTATCGTTAAATTCGTCGTTACGTAACGCTAAAAAGTGTCACTTTATGTAACGACGGATTTGGTGTGGTGGTATCGTTATCTTAGTTTTTTCTCTCATCTTTCCTTTCCTTATTTTTTTTTTACGAATCGGAGCGACAAAGGGCTGAATCTCAGTGGATCGTGGCAGCAAGGCCACTCTGCCCTTCCTTATTATTAAATAATCATATTTTACCTTTTTACATAATATTTTCGCTTCGTATCCTATTTTTTCTTAGTCATATTTGCAAATTTATTCTTCATATTGTTGGTGCGTGACATCATGAACGATGGCAAACGATACAGTCTATCCAAATGTTGTATTCATTAAACAATACAATACAATGCAGTACAATACAATACGTTACATTATGAAACGGAGATCTTTATGTGAAAATACAAGAAATCTTTGTAGAGTCATTTTCTTCTAATTTAAATTATGTCGGGTTATTTTGTACCATTTGCTCTGGACTATATTTAATGCAGCTGCTTAGTGTTTGAGATTACAAGACTTTCCATTCTAATCATGTTCCTGTATGTTCTTTAGATTTTCATATTTTCTTAACCTCTTTTAAATAGGGATAGGGGAAAAGAAGAGGCAGGGTGCACAGTAGAAAATTGAAGAGCAAATTTAGAGATGCTTTTCGACTCACTCAACTGTATATACTTGAATCCTTACACAGAAAGAACTCACAAAAAAATGAACTTCCCATTGTATTATCTCTCGAAAAGAGACCTACATGAATTCATGAATCCATTTTGCCTGGTTGATAGCTAAACAACAGAGCCCACATATATTCTTAAATAGATGCTGCTTATGTATATTCTCTACTACAAATTTGTGATACAAAAATGTCAAAACAGGCTGGATGACTATAGTATAGAATGCTCGTATCAGTACCGAAGAGGCTACTCATCCTCGATGCTCTTCTTTCTCTTAATATTAGCTGGTATTTCACCATAAAGACATATCCGCAATGCACCTTCCAGTACTCGTTGGTGAAAGTAGTTCCTATACAAGTCCCAGAACTCATCTCTGCCAAATGGAATGTATACTATGAGATCTCAAAAATTAGTCACTAGAAATCGAAGGTAAAAAGGTTAAGGGAGATAGAATGCTGTTTTGCCATTTATGATATCTTCAGGAGTATATAAAGTGCATATCAAACATATTTTGAGGCAAACAATGGGCAATGAGGAAGCCAAGGATGAAGAAAAAATAGCCAGGTTAATCCAACACTTAAGACGACATATATGTGTCTTAAGGATTTAGTAACTTTAGATCGAGATAGATGTGTAACTAACTCATAGGTAAACAGAATCTAACCTGACTTGAGGCAGTGTCAACAGTGAATAGCCCTTCGCGTCAGCTTTCATATCCAGCACAATCACCGCTAATCGAGATAGGCCAAGCACCTCCATGTCTATCAACTTCTTAATTCTGTCACCAGTTTGAAGAAATTAGGAACCCAAATTTTTAATGGTAAATGAAAACAGCAAGAAATGCAATCAGATTTCAGGTTCGATTACAGAAACATGATCTCCTTTCAACCATAATTTCACCATTTTAATACAGTTTGTACAAGTATCAATCGACCAATCAATTATGCCTCGATTCAAACTAATAGAGCTCATCTACATTAATTCTGCTTTTCACAGGGGCCATTTCATTTCAATACTAAATATTTTTTCCTTTACAGCAAATCAGTTTTAAAAGCTAGAGGATATCGAAATCTCATGCTTCCTAATGTAAGTAACAACAGCAACTAAATTTTAATCCAACAAGTTGGTATTGTTGCTATAGCGTTTATTATCATCTTATAGACTTAGAGCATTCTTAGCTAAGTAAACACGATTCCGAGAGATTGCAGGTCCTTGAGACAACTTTCCTCCATGTATATTTAGTTTACCACATTCCTTTTTAGCACTTTCTACCACAATAGTATCACATCTACAAAACAGGAATTGGGAGATCCACCTAGGACATGGCCAAGTCGTTTCAAGTGGCATCATATTTTTTTCTTCTGTGTGTGTTGCTTGCTCCCTCTCTTTGATGTGATAATTTTTGATCTTATATTCTTGTATGTTCATACATCCATATGAATCATTTTTTGTAATGCATGTCTTGTGGCTACCAAACAAGTCTCACTAAATCATGCATACTTGCAAGGGAATAAAAGCGATTTTGAAACATCATTGTGCATGAATTCGTCATTCCATTGACCATGAAGCTTCATCATCTTTGGGTAATCTATTCACTAAAGTTTATTGGAGAAAGTCACTATCCATCGACTGAGTTTGTATGTAAATGGCAATTGCATAATGTTCTCATTGATTGTAGTTGCAAAAACAAACAAAAACAAATACCAATAGAAAAATACGTCAACATTATTATTCATAGACGAAATGAGTCCAACTTTCAAGGAAATACTACGCATACCTGCTTGGCGTCCCACTTGCAATATTAACACGATTCTTGAGAGAAGAAGCCTGTGATGAGTATAAGAAAAATCATCCCTAGCATCCACGTCAAAAGTTTCTCTTTTTTTAAAAACAGAGAGTTAACCAGGGGAAGAGGAAAGGGTGCATTACTAAAGAGACATATATTTAATTTGTTAATGATGTGTTAACACGATGAATGTTATTGAACATGTGACAGTTAGCAGAGATCTTTTTTGTCAATGATTCAAAATTATATTTAAAGTTGCTCAATCTTGCAAGTAGCATATGGAATACCTGCTCCTCAACCTTCATATGCTTAGAGAAAAGCTTTGCAGCACGGCATTCACTTGTCAAAGGCCGCAATTCTCTGCAAAGCAAAATTTATTTACAGGTCATAGTAAATGATAAACTAGTGATAGTTGAGCTACATTACTCCATGTATAGTCCTTCTGTCCCTATTTATATTGGCACTCTTTCCTTTTACGTCTATCCCAAAAAGAATAACATAAAATTCCTATTGTACCCTTAATGAAATGATTAATAGTCATACAAATATTTAAGGCTTGTCTTAGACCACAAGTTTCAAAAGTGTTTCTTTCTTTCTTAAACTCTGAGCCAAGTCAAACGGTGCCACATAAATTAGGACAGAGGGAGTATCTACATAACAAATTTTTGGTACAGGATAAAGTTATATATGCAGAACTACTCAAAGAAAGAATAAGTTCCCACATTAACAAAAGCCAGAATAAGTTCCCACACTAACAAAAGCCACCAACCTGAGAAGATCCAGCGAACGCAAGGCAGATAAGCTAATGACCAGAAGTGAAGGATGCCCTGGATCAATTTTCCCATCAAGCTCCTTTTCACACAGACTTCCTTTCCATGATGGTCCAAAAGCAACCTTCATATGATCAGCCAATGGACTACTACTTTGAGCTTGATCAGGATTGAGCTCAAGCATGCATGTCTCTGCGTCATTAAGATTCAAAGTAACATTCATATAGTAGTTAAAAAGCTATAACAATGTTAGAGAAAGAATGAACATATGAAATAAAATGCATCAAGAGCTTGTCCTAAATAATAGTACTTCTCTGTCTAGTTAGTAAAAATTCCTCTCTTCTTTTCTTTACTTTCATAGTTTATTAAAGTTTACTTGTTCTAACTAACCGCCAAAAACCTTTTTCTAGCCGAGATGACAAAATAGTGACAGCTAAAAACAAGAACACTTCATTTTATTTATCAGGGAAGAAAAATGAAAAGACTTTTAACTTCTCAAAAACAGTTTCCTTCATAATTGCACATCATAAAAAGCACATAACAAATGCCATAATCAGTTCAGAAAGTGTTGAGCACAGGCACTGGGGAATCGTGGGAGCAGAAAGGGAACATAGCTTAAATCTCAAGGTCATAGACAACCAGAAATGGATTACAAATTCTTGTAACATTCTTTTTCCGGAGGTCTGCACCATCTTTAGGTGGATTAATCAATAAATTGATAATTTTATGATCAAATGTTAAGACATGTTTAAGGCCATAAGTTTCAAAAGTTCTATACCCACGCAAATGTTATGGTATGTTTAAGACCACAAGTTTCAAAAGTCGTTCATTTCTTTCTTAAACTCTATGTTGGATCAAAATGTGTCACATGAATTGGAATGGAGGGGATAATACTTAATCTTCCTGTTAAACTCATACTTGCAGAAAAAATTCTATTTTACCAACTCAAACCTCTGATTTCATCACCTATTCAAAATTTTAACTTGTTTAACCTAGAAACTATTGAGAAAAAAAATTAACTGCATAAAGTTAGTGAGTCATCTAAAAAAAAACAAATTAGCAACTTCATCAGAACCCTAATAGTATAATAGTAGAGTGTATACCTGTAAAGGATTCGAGCTCGAGGGAAGAAAGCTGAACCCTATTAGCTGACTGATACTGCTCATGGAAATACTTCAGCTGTTCTGCTGCTGTTGGGAAACTAACCATACTGTTTTCGCTGTTTTTAATTTTGCTTTTGGTTTTGGTTTTTGCATTTTCATTAGATTTGCTATTGATTTTCGTTTTCTTCAAATTTTGCTTCTTTCTCTTGACTTTATTGGGTCCTAAGTGCAATGCTTTCTTCTCCTTCTTCTCCTTGCCGCTACCCATTGGAGTCTCTCTGTCACTGCCGCAAATTTTCTCTGCTGTCCGTTGGTAGCCTTTGCTAGGTTTGTTTCTGCGCTATTTTTGTTCAAGTTGATTTCAATTAACAGAGAAAATGGTAACAATGGCCCCCTTATGTTTGAGGATAAGTTTAAAATGTTCCCTTAATTATACTTTTGAGAAGTTTTAGTCCTCTAAATTTGTCAAAAGAGAAAAAGTATCTAAATTTGCGCTTGTTTTATTCAAAAATTGAACAATTTTTCAATCTGTTAAACTCCTGGCCTAACATTATTCCTTCCATTAGGAAAAAGCCTCATTTTTAAAAATTTTTTTATTAAACTTTAACCTTAGGGTAATTTTAACTTATAATCAGATATTTAGAAATAAATTAGATATCTTTTTTAAAGAATTACGGAGATCCCACTCTATTCCAAAAGCTCGTAGTATTGGTCCCGATAAATTCCAAATTTAATGCTTCGTCTCCCCCAACAATGTCCACGCCTTCAACTTGTTCTAAAAAAAAAATAGGATTTTGGGTAATAAGTTTTTGATACTCAGCAACCCCGGTTAAAAAATAATAACAAAAATCCAAACATTTATCTATCCCGCCTTGAAAAGATGAAACTGCTCATTCAAGTTAGAGCTCCGATTGCAGAGAATATATAAATGGGTTAAAATTAGTGGCAGATCTAGAATTATACTACAACAACAATAATAAACTCAGTGTAATCCTACGAGTGGGATTTAGGAAGAGTAATGTGTACGCAAAATTACCACTAAAGAAGTCAAAGGCCGCCAAAATGGTATACATACAAAAAAAAAAAAATGTTACCTAACTAAATAGTACTATATTTTTAACAAGCGTTTGCAAAATAAATTTGAAAAGGGAAAAGGTCCAAAATTCTCCTCTACTATTATTTATTGTTTACTTTTGCCATTCGTTATACTTTCCGTCCAATCTAGCCCCTATTGTTACACAAGTTTTAAAAATTACCCCTAACCCTAACGTTTTGACACTATGGCAGCTGACCTCCTCAATTTCATCTATGTCAGCTGCCATGTCATCGACCCCCCTCAATTTTAACAAGCGTTTGCAAATTAAATTTGAAAAATATACAATGTATTTTTAACGGATGACAAAATTAAATAACTTCGAAGGACAAATTTGAAGATTTTGAACTATTTCCCTCCCTCATTTTTTTTTCCAATATAAATCCAATGTGGACCTCTAGGAGGAAAGAGCATTTATTTCTCATGTCATGCAGTAGTTTCGCTGAAAATGTCTCAAAGCACTAAAAGCCTTTGCTTTTGCTCTACCAATCCAATCCAAAGAATCATATTCTTTCCTTTCTTTCGTTATCTCTTTTTTGTCAAGTCTTCTCACGAAGACTTGCTCAATAATGTAGATTAAAGGCTCCCCAAAATTCAAAAAAAAAATATCAACGTCAATGGGTAATATTTTCAGTTTTCCATTTCGTAAGCAGAGTAGTAATAGTAATAGTAGTAGTAGTACGAATTCCAGTAATAACACCACTTCTACTTGTTTTTCTTCGATTTCTAAGAGAACGAGAAATCGGTTGCTTTCTTCTTTCTCCCCCTTTGAATCCTCTGTAAATGATAATATTAGTTCTATTCCGGTGAAATGTTCATCTTCCGATTCAGGTTCTAGCAACGGGAAGATGGCGTCCACTAACAGCAAAAAGGAAATGGAACAAATGACTAAGGATAATAATAATAATAAGAAGAAGAAGAGCAAGTACTACTATATTCCTGATAATTTCTCTTCCCTTGATCAGGTTTGTTCTTCCCCTGTATTTTTGTTGTTCTATAACAATCTCGTTTGTTCAGAATATTTTTTGGTTGTTATAGCAAAGTATTGTTACAGAGAATATATATTACAACGTAGCACGAAAAATTGATTAAAGAAAAATTGAACAGTTATAATGAAGTGCTCTAATACATGATGACTGTTATAGTGACGTTTGACTATATATACAAAGCCTACTTAAGTCCAAGACAACTAAGTAGGCGTTTGGACATAAGAATTGTAAAATTTCAAAAAATGGTGAAAATTTTTTTCAAGTGAAAATGGTATTTGAAATTTAAAGTTGTGTTTGGACATAAATTTCAGTTTGAGTTGTTTTTGAAGTTTTGTGAGTGATTTGAGTGAAAATTTTGAAAACCAGCTTTTTGCAGTTTTTCAAATTTTCGAAAATTTCCAAAATGCATTTTCAAGAGAAAATTGGAAATTTTATAAACAAACGCTGATTTCATAAAAAAGTGAAATTTTATTGAAAAAATCTTCCATCAAATTTTATGTCCGAACAGGCACTAAAGCACTTGCTTTAAGCTGTAAAAAGTAAAGGTCTAAGTAGAACAAAACTTTTTTTTCATTTCAAAATAGATTGGCATTATACTTCGGAAACCCATGAACTTTGCATATTTTGTTGGTGCAGATGAATTAATTTTTTGTTTCTAATTGCCCTATACGTAACTATTTGTTAGCCTCGACCCTTGACCAATCTCACCTGATGGAAGTCAGAACCATGCGCTACCACCTGGATTTTTTTGTCCACGTGACATTTTTGTAAAACAAAGTATTTTTTACTACTCCTTATATTTCAATTTATGTGGCACCATTCGAATTTCGAGAATCAAATAAATTTTTATTTTTACCATAATTTTTTCATATGCCTTTTAAATATTTTGAATTATTAATTAGCGATGCCATATAAGTTGGGATAGGACGGGGGAGTACCTTGTTGATTAATTCAATAACTTAAGGTCTGTTGTTGATAAATGTCAACTTCTCTTATTAGAACAGCTTCATTACTTTTCACTAGAAGAGTAGATTATTCTGTAAATCTGTTGAGGCATTGTTAATAAGAGGCACCTGAGATTGTTACATACAGGGGCGGAGGTAGCAGCCCGACTACAAGTTCGGCCAGACCCAATAATTTTTGCTTGAACGGTGTATTTTAAGATATTCAATTTATGTGCACATGTTAAATTTAGAATCCAATTATTATCGCTTGGCGGAAGATTAGTACTTATTCCAGATAGAAATAAATTACACCCCCCTCC